TCTTTCTTGTGCCGCCGGTGAACAACATGGCGATGCCACTGTAACCCAAGCTGTATTGATGGTTAGTTATCTTGGGCCAGTCTGTGCTCTAGCCCCGCTTGATATCGTGAATTTGCAGTTGTTGAAATCTTTCATCGGAACTGGTGTCTTATTCTTGGGCAAAGCTTTCATGAACGGGGGTCTTTTGTTTTCGACCATCACTTTAGTGTTCGTGGCCGTAATTTCGCTATGGTCATTCATTCTTTTAGTCAGGACCAAGCTTGTGGTGAGCGGAAGTTTCGGAGGTGAGTAGACATCTTCAAATCATTCCACTGAAACTAGTCTACTCTTCGCCCCTCTCGCTCTGCAGGTTGGGATTGACTTAAAAGGTTTGCTCTACCAGATATCGGTGGCGCTTTATATGGTACTCCGATGCGATTCGCGATCCTTTCCTCTATCACAATCTCTCAAATCGGGTTTACCGCCGCCTATATCATATTCGTGGCATCCAATCTCCAGGCCTTCATAATGGCTATTACCCAGTGCGCTACCTACGTCAGTACTTTGCATTTAATTCTTGCGCAGCTCGTTGTCTTCCTTCCGTTGGCGATGGTACGGAATCTAGCCAAGCTAAGTACAACAGCCCTCATCGCGGACGCATTCATCCTGGTTGGACTTGTCTATATCTTCTCCAATGAGTTCGCTCTATTGGCGAGCCACGGAGTATCTGATATTAAACTGTTCAATCCCAAAGATTATGCATTGATGATTGGGTTAGCGATGTTCCTCGTATTCAGTGAAACTTGTATGCTGAGGAAGCGTGTAGGACAGCTGTGTTCAGCTTTGAAGGTATTGGTCTGGTGAGTTGGTCTTCGTCACCTGTAGTAGCGCTGTGTTCATTTGAATATGAAGGTGATCCCTATCACCGATTCCATGCGGGAACCCCACAAGTTTCCCCGAGTGTTGACTGGCGTCATGATATTCCTAACTGGTCGGTCTTGATTCCACATTACTAACCAACGTGGGATTACAATCATTACCCACTCATAGTACTATTCGCTGGTGCTGGTGTCCTCGCTTATACCGCGTATGGAAGCAACGTGCAGACGGTCATCCTCCTCAATCTTCCTCAAGATCAGAAATTTGTACAAGTGGTATGCAGCTTGCGAGTCTTATCGCTACATTTTCTCACCTACCTCATAGGTACAATTCTTATACTCTATGGCCATTTTGCTATCCATACCACTTCAGCTATTTCCCGCGGTGCGTATCATGGAGAACGGACTGTTTACACGCAGCGGTAAACTTGATCCGCGAGTCAAGTGGGAAAAGAACGCGTTTCGATGTGTCGTCGTTGCCGCGTGCACACTCATTAGCTGGCTCGGCGCTGCAGACCTTGATAAATTTGTCGCGTTCGTCGGTTCATTTGCGTGGTAAGTCAAACAATATGATCTATTCATAATGTATCGTTGACCCAGATTCGATCAGTGTTCCGTTATGTTACGTCTACCCACCCATGCTACATTACAAAGCATGCGCGCGAACAAAGTCGCAGAAGGTGGCGGACATTGCAATGATGTTCTTTGGGTCCGTCGCTGCAGTCTTTACAACTGTACAGACGATCAAGGTAAGCTTTAGACATACCGTATCCTTTACAACATACATATCTTTGTTTCCTTTCTAGCTCATGATGGAACCGAATGGCGGCAGTGAGCCAACATTTGGGAACTGCCCAAAGCCCCAAGGTTTGTTCTGAGTACCCGGGCCTTCGCCGGACTTCAACATACAGTACCCTCGCTATATAGGGTTTCTTGACCCATGCTATCGTACTACTGTCCTACCGACTCTTTGTATTGTACCCGTAGAATATCATACTCTTTAAGAAACCATTTACATGTGTAAAAACAAATAAAGATATCAAACATGAAGGTTATCGATCAGGAGTGGATAAAGGTGATACAGTTTTACGATCAGGAAGGTCCGTCAACGCCCATAACACGTCATAGGCCAGGGTCATTAGATCGGCGTCGGCTGGCGTCAATTCTGCTTTCGAATGCGTAGACTCTGATTTCTCCCCAAGAGTAGTGGATGATGCCGATGGTACCGATTCATTTCGTGTACGGTCACTGCTGGACAACGGGTTCGACTTGTCGAGACTAGCCTGGGACGCGCTTCGTTTGAAATATTTCTGGAGGCCGGCATTCTTTTCCGAGTCCTTTTCATCTATCCATGTTCTTTGAAGCTGAAGTAAGTTTGGGGCCTTCAGACAACCTTTTGAGTTGCGATGAGTCTCAAGTCGATTTCCGTTGAGACTCTCGCGAAGGATCACTTTCTCTCCACAGAGGTCGCATTCTGTAGTCCGGTAATGTGAGTCGGCTTCTAAAGGGGGCACGGGTGCCTTGTCTGACACCTTTGTAGAGCTGGGCCCGGGTTGCTGGAGCACGGTGCCTAGAAAGCGGTTAAGGCTTAACGGGTCGACACGAAACAGATTACTGACTAGATAGTTTCGACTCGGGATGGCTAGACGCCTGCTTCGTTTTACTCACACCGATAATGTAGGAGGCACATTCAGCTTGGTGCTGCCGGAGTTCCCTGCAACCAACGCGTGTGTCAGGAAACTTTGCTCGACATGGCCGGCATCGGATATAAGGTTTCTGTGAAGCTGCTGCCAAAGAGTAAATTGCATGTAGTAGACGGCCTTCAGAGAACTTAGAAGCCTCCAACCTGGTTTACTAGTCGAGTGGCCATCAACCATCGTGGAGGACACTCTACGAGCTAAGAATGAATGAGGAAAATTCAGTGTTATACTTGAAGCTTGGAAATAGGGAGTGGTTGAAATGCGCGATGTGACTATGCGTGACATTACGCGTTTCAACCGCTACATATGCCTCGCGCATCGACCACCCCCAGGGCACGCCATCGCTCTGCGAGACGTCGGCCTCAAGTAAGGAACGGCGTTTATGACGTTTTCCATTAACTTAACTCATCATTTCCAGGGTGTCCCCTCATTTGTCCGATCCACTGTGCCGCATGGGTCCACATCCCTCCAAGACTTACCATCTGATCCATTGTTGAGGGCCATGCATATTCTTCACGTCGGTGCACGTCCTGATGCATTACCGTGCCGCGAGGATGAATATATTGAAGTCATGGGTGCAATATTAGGGTTACTGGAAGAAGAAAGTGGCGGCTGTGTTTGTAAATGGCCTGTTCCACGCACTGCCATGCCATGCTGAGCATCGTATACAGACATTTCCGGTGTACCCGGAACCGGAAAAACAGCTACAGTCCATGCGGTAGTGAAGGAGCTAAGAGCAATGGCAGAACGCAGTGTATAGCCCACATGTCCGTCGTTTATCATCTCACAATCTAATTGATTCACAGGAAACAAACCATTTCACTTATGTTGAAATCAACGGCTTGAAGATCCCTGAGCCCTCCGCAGCATATGCATTGCTATGGGAGGCAGTATCTGGCCATGACGTTGACGAAGAGGGTCATCTCGAGGTTAGCTCGAAAGAGGCACTCAAGAGACTAAACCAATATTTCGCTGTAGGAGCGAGTGCAGGTCCCGGCCGCGCCTAGTATGTCCCCCCACGGCAATATCGAATGCCAGTGACCCCAACTCTTTAGCGTCGTGCTCATGGACGAACTTGATCAACTGGTCACATCAAAACAGGATGTTATATACAACTTCTTCAACTGGCCCAGTTTATCCAAATCTAAGCTAATTGTGATCGCCGTGGCGAATACTCACGACTTGCCTGAGAGAGTGATGAGTGGCAAAGTGCGCAGTCGGCTCGGTGAGTCGTCGCATTACTTGCACTGTTAATTCACCTGCTTATTGTCCCACCGGAGATTCGCAGGCATGGTCCGAATTAACTTTCACCCCTACAACACTGGCCAGCTGCAGAAAATTGTCCATGCACGATTAGACAGTGCAAATTTGAGTTCACAAATATTTGAACAGGACGCTGTTAAATTTGGCGCTATGAAAGTCTCTAGTGTCAGCGGCGACGCACGCCGGATACTTGATGTCTGCAGGCATGTTATCTCAGTTCTTCGCGTCAGTGCAGGGTCTTACCGGACGTCACAGACGAGCAGTAGAGTTCATCCGCTCCACTAACGCACCATTGGTCCAAATTGTGCACGTCAAGCAGGTCATCGCGGCCATGCAAAACAGCCCTACGGCCGCATACCTGCAGGACTGTAGTCTGCATGAGAAGATTATGCTGGCCTCGCTGCTGAAGTGCGTCAAAAGAGAAGGTGTGGATGAGATCCGATGGGGGGACGTATGTTTAGTCATTTAAATCTCATGGTCTACTCTTACGCCGATCCCACTTAGGTTACGCATCAGCATCTCATCTACATGAACATCTTAACCGGAGAGGATGATCCCAAAAGAAAGCCTACGAATATTGAGCTGTGTCTGGTCCTGGAATCCCTTGCAGCTTCCCGTGCGATTCTCGTCGAAGAGGGCGTCCTGGCATCACGAAAGCCGCAGGGAGACCGTAGAGTAATTCTGAATGTCGAGGCAGGTGAGGTGGAGAGGGTACTGAGTGATATGGGGGGCCAAAATTGGAAGAATGCATTAGGTGTATGATAACTTCTATACCATGCCGCTCTCACACGCAATCAACATGTTATATAGGGGATACCATAGATAAATTACTGCTCCCTCCACACGAGTGACTAGCCTATACGCGCCGTGCTGGCCATGCTCGTCCAGCGCAAGATAATGTTGATTATGGGCAGATTTGCGGCTCCTAAGATAAATATGATTATGGGCAGACTTGCCCACTTACATTAAGCCAATCCGTCTGATTGTGCTGCCAATTAGATCAGAAGACCCCAAATTACAAGTACTGGAGGGGCTAGGTCTTCCCCGCGTGGAGCAAATTCTGCTTCAAACCCTACCTGCAGGCCCGCAAAGAGACGCATGTCCATTATACGACAATAAATAATGCTAAAGTGGAGTGAAAGACTGAAATAAATCTGACGTGCAGACTGCGACAAAAGGATGACACCGAGGGGATTCGAACCCCTGCCTACAAACGTAGATGAGAAGACCCTTGATAAGGGCAAGTTTTCACTTGAGTCACACTCCTTAGACCACTCGGACACAGTGCCATGGTCTACGCAGGCCTATGAACAATATATATTGACCCTTGAAAGCTTTTTCCTTGGCACAATGTAACGCGTCGTCACGCGGCCCGACAACGCGTCCTGCCTTTTTCTTACAATAATACCCTTCCTCATACCTTCTACCATCTCATCCAATACCAGTCATGACCCTATCCCTGCGAGGCTATTCGGCTTGGATAACCGTCAACGAAGAATATGTTCCTGTTTACCAAGAAGAAGCAGCAGGTACGGTTTGCAGCGCCTGGATCGCCAGCACCGCTGGCCAGGTCGGTCCTGCGCCCCATTCATGGTCCTTCCTACTCAGGCTTTTCTAGAGTTTCTCTGTATGGTGGAAAGACGACAGTAAAGCGCGTATCGCTACGTCTGGGCACATTTTCATCGATGGACACGACGTCGCCTCCGCTATTATGCGCCCTGGTCGATCAAAACCAGTGGAGCGCAAGGGTGTTAAGACCAGCGCCCGTCGACTAAAGCCCTTCACATTCTCAACACTTCTTTTGACAGGGAAGCCTCAAATTTTGATCTCTTATTCTGATCCAATCGGCTATTCTAACAGACGATGACACCGTTGCGAACAAAAATGACCCGAAGATACCCCAAATGGGCACGATAAAAGTGGGTTGAAATGTCGCGCCATCGTTTTTGCCGCTCGCTGAGCTCGACGAAGATTGAAATATCACGCGTTAAGCTTGGGGATGAAGTCCCGTTTAAAGGATATGAGGCTAAAGAACAAGGAATCATTCACGAAAAGGCGAAAAAGCTAGGAAGTCATTGCACCTCGTAAGTAACGGTGTCCATGTGACCATTTTTAAAAGGGTTTCCAACACGCCGGTCTCTAGTTATGGCCCTAGCCAACGAACCTCTGCATCCCGCACAGTAGCAGTGACTACCGCACCATATGATGCCGCCAATCCCGGACCATACGTGACGTTCCTTTTCAAGTACAAGAGCCTAGGTCTGTCGTTGTCTCATTCAATGAAAAAATGACTTTACCTTGGCCCCAGATCTCTTGCGAGCTACCGGCATTATACGAAACCCCAATAATAAGCGTAACTCTCCAGCCGATGACGATGAGGTCATCCTAATCTCAGATAATGAGGATAACGACAATGACAAGGTAATGTGTTAGGGCTTTCCCAAAAGTTGTGTTTGTGACGTCCCTCCCCAAGGAAAATAAAGAGAGCGAACCCCCTGCCAAGAGGGCAAGGACTAATCTCGAGACTGATGGAAGTCGGTCCTCCCCTGAACGGAGTGGCCAGCCAGAATCCATCGATGACATAAAGCCGGATATCGAAGGTGCAACAGCTGAAGACAGCATGGAAGATGTTCACCTAGACTTTGGGACTCCCTCCCTCCTGCAGGAAGTAAAGGACGGGAGCCAGACCCAGCCAGAGATAAAGGACGAGAGCCAGACCCAGCCAGAGAGCCAGACCCAGCCAGAGAGCCAGGCCCAGCCAGAGAGCCAGACCCAGCCAGAAAGCCAGACCCAGCCAGAGAGCCAGACTCGGCCAGAAAGCCAGACTCGCCAGCTCTAAAGCGAAGAACCGAGTGCAGTCCGATGACGACAGTCAGGTAACTTTGGGCTACATACTTGAGAAGGAAGAGGTCCCGAAAATAACCGAGAAGTCCCAAAAAATAACCCATTGGGCCCCCCAAGAATGGGGCTGGTAAATCTCCTGGAGAGTGCCCGTCTGCTGGTGTTTAATGAGTAGGGCATGGAGGTGGATTAGTGTCCCCCGGATTCGTCGGTGCCATGACATGCCCTCCGAGTCTCGATGCTGACTACAGTACCTATTGGTTAATATATCCAACTTACTGATTCTGACCACGTGCGGCAAATGTTTGACTCCTTTCGAAAAATATACGCGCCTGACAGCGTCCAAAAGGCCATTTGCTTAGAAAGTGTTTTCCTCTGAGACCACTGGTGAGTGGCCAGGTAAAGAGGAACTAAACATGGAGTCTGGGCGGAAGCCGCCACAACTACGCGAACGGGTCGCACGAGTTCTCACACGTGCCTAGTTCTGGAAAGCCTATCTCAACAATACTGTGGGTCTGTAGGTATGAAAAACGTATATTGCAGTGTACGATACTAGCTTATAGCTAGTACTTACTGGTAGATTGCATAGATTCAGCACTTCAAGTTCAACGTATAATGACGGCTCAAAGTTCCGTTCACCACGAACTTGCACCCGACGCGGTCTGTTGTGACTACTATGTCTTATCGAGCTTATCGCCTCATAGAGACACCCCTAGGGTGCAGATGTTGAAAGCCCACCCAAAGCATCTTCTTATCCCGATGAGTATTATGCGCCTTTTCTGTCAACACTCGCCAAGGTAAAGTTCTTTTATAGTGGTACATGACATCCTGCTCACCTTCCACCATGTTTCCATTATCAAGGAACGTCGTCCTAGCCCAAGTATACATGACAACCATCTGTACTTTCTTAGCAAGTTGAATATTTTGCCTAGTTCGCAGTCTATTTCCCTTGGAAGAGCGACCGAATATGATATCTCTCCTTGCCGGGAAGCCCAACCCTAACACCTTCCCCATCACTTCTCTTTCCTTTACTGCACGATCGCCAACGGAGCCAAGTACAGAAGTCTCGTACGCCGTCACAGGGCCCTCTCTGTCCGAGGCGCTTCAATACTCGGCTACCAGCGGTCTACCCAGTTTGGTGGCATGGATGACAGGTCTTCAAGAAATCTCACATGGACGTAAGAAGGACCCGAGTTGGCGGGTCAGTATTGGAGCTGGGAGTCAAGACTTGCTGTACAAGGTTGGTGGTCGAATACTTCGCAGGAATGTTATTTGATTTCAATGTCGCACGTAGGCTTTTCATGTCTTGATTAATGATGGAGACTCCGTTTTCGTCGAGTCTCCCGTGTACGCGTATGTTCAGTATCTTTCGCCGTTCAAGCAGGATTCACATCGCTCATACACGGCTCTGACCTGATTAGCGGTGTCATCCCAATTTTCCAGTCACTTCATTGTGGTCTCATTGGTGAGTTCGTATCCAGATAGCTGGTTTTTGAGAAGCACTTATTTCTCTTGGCAGAGATCGAAACCGATGCAAATGGTATATCAGCGAGCTCTTTACGCAATGCGTTGGATAATTGGCCTGCTGGAAAGAAAAAACCACGTATCTTGTACACTGTCCCTGTGCGTCATTTTGAGTTCTTCGCGGATATATCCCCGCCAGGATTTAACCCGTAATTCCAGTATGGCTGCAACCCTACCGGAATGACGGCTAGTCTGGAAAGGCGCCTCGAAGTGTTGAAAATCGCTCGAGCACACCATATTCTCATTATTGAGGACGACCCTTATTATTACTTGTACTTTGGGTCGCGTCCCCGTCCATCCTCGTATTTCGCCCTAGATGCGCAGGGGGAGGGACGTGCGGGTCATGTCCTTCGCTTTGATAGTTTCTCCAAGATCCTCAGCGCTGGAATCAGAATCGGTGCTGTCAGTGGACCCGACCCCTTGCTCCGCGCAATTGATGCCCATACTGCGACCGCGAACCTGCAAGTTTCATCATTGACCCAAGCCATTACTCATACCCTCATGTGCGCCTGGGGATACGACGGCTTCCGGCGGCATACTGAGCAGGTCTCTGAGCTTTACCGCGCGAAGCGTGATGTGTTTGAACATGCTATGAAGAAGCATCTCGATGGACTGGCTGACTGGGACACCCCAGAGGCCGGAATGTTTTTCTGGTGAGAAGAATAAGTATCCTATTCTGGCGATCAACTTTAGCTCAACTTTGTTTCTGTTGCAAGGTTTAAGCTCCGTATCTCTTCCCAAGGTGCTGATGGCGGCGACTCCGAGGCCCTCATACGCACGAAGGCCCTGGAGAATGGTGTCCTCGCTCTGCCAGGTACTGTATTCCTACCTAACGGTGGCAAGACTGCATATGTCCGGGCCTCTTTTAGTCTCCTGGAAGAAGAACAAGTCAGTGAAGCTCTCAGAAGATTGGCCGAAGTAATCCGGAAGGGGAACTCCTGAATAGTATGAAGCATGTACTTGTATACCTACTCGCCCATCGTTGCAAATATTGTGGTTTATAATAGATACGGTATATTTAGTAAGCCACTGATTGGCTGTCGCGGATCCGTACCACATTTTTACATAACGTCCAGGATGGATGAAGGCTCAAATACCCATCTAACATGGTCTAGCATTGCCCTCGCATTCTCATTCATCGCGTTTGACGCGATTATATCCTTTGCGTTCGGCCTTAAAATTGGAACGTCGCTGGTCACTTCCGCCGTGCGATGTGTTATCCAGCTCGGTCTCATGGCACTCGTTTTGAGGAGTGTTTTTGAAGCCCAAAATCCTTGGGCTGTCGCTGGAATAGCTTGTACGTTGTTCGACACAGCTCAGAATGGGATGCAGGAGCTGACACGAACCGCTTAACGCGACTAGGCTTGCTCAATCTACTCGGTGCGTTTGAAACTGTTGTAAATAGGTCCTCGAAGCGATACACAAACATGGTGCGTTTCTGTTTCGCATTTCTCAGAATAATCATGGCCCACGGATGGTTCATACAGTTTCCTGCCGTCCTGCTCGCCATGTTGGTCTCTACCCTGCCTATATCCTTGATAACGACGCGCTTTGTGATGTCAGTGGAGCCATTTTGGCAGCCTGAACAATATAGTGAGTCTCATCCTTGACTGATATTACTCAGTGAGAACGACCTCTACGGCAGTTCCGATTGTCGGTATGCTTGCTGGTTCCACAATATCCGGTATGGTGGTGGCTTTAACGTCCATATTAAGAGAGCTCCAGGAGAACCGGGACAAGGTCGAAACATATCTGGCATTTGGGGCTTCGCGAATAGAGGCTTCTATTCCTATAGCGCAACAAGCCCTCCTGATCGCACTCACCCCTGTGGTTAACCAAATGAGGTGCGCACTTCCGTGCATAAGAGAAAGGCTGTGATGTCTAAGTTGGAGAGGTCCCTGCAGTGTGATCGGCATCATTGCAA